TTGATAAGTCCTTGAGATGTATTATTTGTTTATTTGATAACTTGCCTTTTTATGTAGGTATTTATTGCTGTAAACTTTCCTCTTGGTATTGTTTTTGTTGTATGTGTTAAGTTTTAATATGTTGTGTTTCTGTTTACATTTGTTAAATTTTCCTTTTGATTTCTTCAAAATGACTCATAATTCATTCAGGAGCATGTTCTTACTCCATGCATCTTTATAATTGCTAGAGTTTCTTTTGTTGATTGCTAGTTTTACTTCATTGTGGTCAGAAAAGATACATGGTATGATTCTTTTTTTTTGAAACTTATTTTGTGGCCTATCCTGTAGGATGTTCCAATGTACTGATGAATATGTATCCTGCAACTATAATATGGAATGTTCTAGAATGTTCTCTAAATATCTGTTAAGTCCATTTAATCAGTTGTGTAGTTTAACTGTTGGTTTCTGTGTAGTTTGTTTGTCTAGATGATCTGTCCATCGATGAAAATGGGATGTTGGAATTATCCAACTATTATTGTATTGGAGCTTATCTCTCCCATTATATTTGATAACATTTGTTTTATAAAACTCCATGCTGCAAGGGGCTGTTATTGTGGTGTAGCTGGTTGAGCTGCTGCCTGCAACATTGATGTCCCATATGGGTACCAGCTTGAGCCCGGCTGCCCTCCTTCCAATCCAGCTCCCTGCTAATGGCCTGGGAAAAGCTTTGGAAGAAGGCCCAAATGTTTGGGCCCCTGCTACTCATGTGGGAGACCTTGAAGAAACTCCTGACTCCTGGCTTTGGTCTGGCCCAGCCCCTGCTATTGCTGCCATGTAGCAAGTGATCAAGCAGATGGAATATCTTTCTCTCTCTCTTTCTCTGTAACTATTACTTTGAAATAAAATAAATAAATAAATCTTAAAAAAAAGAATACTAGTTGCTCTGGCATTAGGTGCATATACACTGGTCATATCTTCTTGTTAAATTGATCCCTTGATCATTATATGATGCTTTATTTGTTTTCTTATAGGTTTTGTTTTAGTCTATTTTTTCTGCTTTCTTTTTATTTCCATTTGCTTGAGCTATCTTTTTCCATTGTTTCACTTTCAGTCTGTATCTGTCTTTAACAGTGAATTAAGTTTCTTGTGGCTGGCAAATTATTCAATCTTGTATTATTCAGTCTTGTGTGTGTGTGTATGTGTGTGTGTGTTTTGGACAGGCAGAGTGGACAGTGAGAGACAGAGAGAAAGGTCTTCCTTTGCCTTTGGTTCACCCTCTAATGGCCGCCGCGGCCAGCGCGCTGCGGCTGGCGCACTGTGCTGATCCGAAGGCAGGAGCCAGGTGCTTTTCCTGGTCTCCCATGGGGTGTAGGGCCCAAACATTTGGGCCATCCTCCACTGCACTCCCTGGCCACAGCAGAGAGCTGGCCTGGAAGAGGGGCAACTGGGACAGAATCCGGCATCCTGACCAGGACAAGAACTTGGTGTGCCGGTGCCGCAAGGCAGAGGATTAGCCTATTGAGCCGCGGCGCCGGCCTTCAGTCTTGTTTTTTAATCCATGTATTTAGTCTATATCGTTTTGTTTGTGGATGTAGTCCATTTACATGCAGTTATTGTTGTAATAACTTGCCTGTCGCTTTAAAAAATTTTTTTGACTATCTTTTGCTCTTTTTCTAGTAGGCTTTATACTTTCATACTTTTTCATGATGAAAGTTACCTTTCTGTATGTAGTACACACTGAAGTATCATAAGGTTAGTCAGGGGATCATGAATTTCTTTTTCGATTGTCTTGGGAAGTCTGTATTTCTCCATCATTTATGAAATATAGCTACACTGGGAAAAGTGTCCTGGACTGGAAGACTTTTTTCTTTTAGAATATGGTCTATATCTCTCCATTTACTCCTGGTCTGTAAGATTTTTATTGAAAAATTGTTGTGGTATCTCATATGGGCACTGGTTCAAGTCTTTGCTACTCCACTTCCAATCCAGCTCCCTGCTAATGTGCCTGAGAAAGCAGCAGAGGATGGAGTAAGTCCTTGGGCTTCTATACCCATCTGTGAGACTCAGATGGAGTTCCAAGTTCCTGGCTTCTGTCTGGCCCAGCTCTGGCTGCATGTATATGCCTTGTTTTTCTCATTGAAAGAAATAAAACAATAAATAAAATGTCCTTGCTCGAGCTGCCTTGCCCCAAAGGGTAGAGTTAGAAACATACCAGGGGATTCCAATTCAATCCCATCAAAGTGGCATGTACCAATGCCATCGCACTAGTCCAAGTGATCAATTTTTGTTCACAATTGATCATAATGATAGAACTAAGAGCCAAAGGGATCACATAAACAAGAATAGTGTCTGCAAATACTGACTGATAGAATAAAAAAGGGAGAGAACGATCCAACATGGGAAGCGAGATACACAGCAGACCCATAGAATGGCAGATGTCCTAAACAGCACTCTGGCCTCAGAATCAGCCCTTAAGGCATGTGGATCCGGCTGAAAAGCCCATGAGAGTATTTCAGGCATGGAAAGCCAAGACACTCTG